GATTTAATGTTATTCAATTTTCATTCATTTCTCGTAACTAAAACACAAAAAAATTTAGTAAATTATAGTAATCACTGAAAGATATTGAATATTTCAAGCATTCGTTGAGTTCTATTAATGAATAACTTCTTTGAATTCCCCCAATCATTACAAATATAAAAAAAACAATATTAAATAATTTATTTTCGAGTGCATTAATAAATTACTTGCTTTGTGAAATATATAAATTTTACGGGAAATGCAAAAAATGTGGTATAAGCAAAAATTAGGTGCGATAATAATTCTTATGCAGCAGGGCAACGAAATGATTTAAAAGTTAAAAAACTGCGCATCCCAAAAATTGTAAAATAAAATATGTTCCTCGAATCTTGTATTTATCAGATTCTAAATTAATTTTGTCTGGAGGGTTTAAAATTTCTTAATGTTTACATGATGCAAACCTGATACAACGAGATTCAGGAACAGCAGTTACTGCCAAAACTATTTTTCATGCAAATTTTTTAAACTTTTGAAATCGCAAACAGGATACGATAGTCGTCCAATCCGTTAATGGTAAATTACAAAATATATACACAAGAAAACTAGTGTAAAACATTTCATTAAGTGAAGCAGCATTCAAATGTTCATGCTTTGATATAAAATACGTCGAATTACCTTCAATATCCGTGTCTGAGTCTTACGGTTGTAATAGAAATGTGCATTAATGTTACGAAAACTTTTGTTCTCAATTTAATAATTTCATAATTTAATAATTTAGTCACAAAAAACTTTTTTATTACCGTTTACGTTACTTTAAAAAATGGGGTAAACATAAATAGTATCGACTTTTATTTCACTCACCAATTAGATGTTTGATTTGATTTTGTTTCGCATTAAGTTGTGCTTGTTTCTCTTCGGTTGATAATAAAAGAGAGTCTTCGTCCTCTTCTGGACAATTTTGAACTGCATTCCTTATTAAATGATAAATATTCGTTAGACAGTTAAACACAAAAGGTGAAGTAATTAATTGTACCTGATTGCTTGTATCCACACCTGCTTATCTTTTGGTTTATGAACTTTCAGTTCAAACATTTCAGGATCTGCAGGATTTGACGAGATTAAATAAATGCCACGAGATTCTTGACCAGCCTTTTCTCTCACTAATAGTTTTTGTAACGAAATTACACCAGCCTGAGCATGCAACAAAAAGAAATGAGTTATAAATTCAGGACTAGAGTCATTTTAAATACAAAGACGTGATTGATTTGCAATATTTAGAAACTACATTTTTAACAAATTAATGTACATAAGTCTACAAAACTTACCTTACTTTCAGGAGTAAAAAACGTATATTTATTATGAGAACTTTCTTGTAAAAAGAACAAGACATCTGTGAGTACTATAACGAGCACAACTTGCATCTTACTCCGGCCCTGCATCAACATAGCTACGCCTTCGAATTTTAATGATCTATTGCCTTGTAAAATATCTGATTTCTTAAATTTCCGTCCTCGATGAATCGTATACGATTTCGCATCAATTCTATTATATATCTCTAACTTTCTGTCTTCCTTTTCTTTCTCAGCTACTTGTGAATCTACCTCAACTAGAATTTCTTTAACAAGAGCAAGTACCTTTTGTAGAATTTCCTGTTCTTGCCTATTTTCTTTACTTGTTTTTATAAGAGGTTCGATCAAAAGTGGATATTTAGTAAGACGTTGTGTGACAAATAATATACATTCAGGGATTCCTTTCTTTTTGAGTAAAGGATTATTTTGACAGTGACGAACAAATTGACCGAATCGTGAATCGTTTTGGAAGTAATATTTGTAAATCTCTACAGCATCACGATGTCGACTACAAAACTCGCCTATAAATAAAGATCACAGTAACTAATAATCAAATAAGAAAATTAAAAATTCTTTTGAAAAATTACCATATGCTGATTTCAATTTAGATGCATTTTGTGACGAAAATTGATCCAAAAGTATATCAGCAATTGTCGGAACTACTGGTGCCTCTCGTTGACGTTGGCGCAATTTTGACAATAATTCTAAATGTAATTCAGTAAGATCTAGAAGACGTGGAAACATTCGTTCCAAATTCGCACCCAAAGTAAAATATTTTTGCAACCCCTCCACAAAAATCTACAAGAATGAAAACTTTTGTAGGGTATCAAAATTTTTAATGAGACAAAAGTTCTATTTGTAAAAAATTGAAGCTTTATTACTAACCTTTTGCATAACCAGAAGAGTCATACAATGATGCTTTTCAGTCAATATAAACTCGTAGATGTGTTCTTGTCTTTTGACCTCTTTTTCTTTCAATTTTTTTGCCAATTCTTTACCGACATACGGTGTCCACGAATCTGGTTCGTTCTCGTGTAATCCTAAACTTAAATCGAAAGACAACTCAGCAGCCGTTAAAGGAGCGTCTGACAAAAACTCCAATGGCACCAAAGGAACATCATCAGGAAAGCTAAAAATATGTTCGTAAACACTGTTACCAGATACACTGAGCATAACATTAAAGTACATACTTTGTACTGTCATGGTGACCATGTAAATCTCCATCCTTGTCCTCTCCCAGTATTTGATGACTAAAAACGTTACTTTATTTAAATTGTTGAAACCATTCATAACTAATTGAAGAACACGTTTGAAAGCGGTAACAATAAAATTATTCAGTACACGATAAATATAAATAAACGATGATAATAATCATATGTTGTAAGTGTGAAGAAAGAAGAATTTAAAAAAATACCACAGAAGAAATAAAAGGGATAATTAGTGCAGAAGCTAAAAGCGAGCCACTTGGTAGTTTTTGTGCCTGTTCAATATTGTAAGGGTGGTAATTGCGGCCAGGTTCTGTGAAAACAATATTTAAAAATGGTTTTTTAAGCAAGGATCGACATCGAAAGCTATTCATTTGATTCAGTTTCAAAATTTTGTTCCCGTTAAAATAGTATTATTTTTTATTAATCCCAAATAAGAATACATATTTAGGTAAATTGCTTGGGTATTCCCCCACAGAGTCGGCAAATGCCCGCTGTACATGGTCTGGGGTGAATTAATACTTACAATACCTAATAATAATTAGTTTAGCTGGAATTTTAACCATCTTCTCGTACAATTATTGCTATATAAATTTGTCTTTATCACCCTTAATTCTTTAAAATTTGGTAGTTATTTAAGATTAAGAAAATCAGCTTAAGAAAGAAAAAATAATACATAAATAAATCGTGTTGTACGTGGTGCATGAGTCGAAAAGAAAAAAAAGAGTATCAGATAATAACAGTAACTTGCTTATGTTAACAATTAAAATAAATTTGAAAAGAATTGCATTTCGAAAGAAGAACAAAAACATATGCAAGGGAAGTGAAGCGAGGGCCACGACTTACTTCACTCCCAATTTGGTGGCAACCCTGCGCCAGGGTGAGTAGCATAGTTGGCTCCTCCTAGGGGAGGGGCGGGGGAAAAGGCAATGTATTAGCCACACTCTAACAATTTCATAACTAGGTACCTAATTATAAACACAATGCATTCTAAATTGCTTGTAAATGTACTATAACTGATTATTTTAAGAGCTACTTTTAAATAATTGAGCTGAAACTTCTTTAAGATACATACCTAAGCAACACATTATTTTATGATAATATTTATAAGCTACGACATTCAACAAGACAGCGAAAAATGTCAATTTTAAATGAATTATATTTTTTAATGTTGCAAGTTAATAATCAGATAAATAGCTCTTATAATACAGCACGCTAGAATAGCAAGCAGTTTAGTATCCGTCATGTTTTCAAAGCTTTAGGAAACAAGATTTTATTTTAGAAGTAATTTGCTTGGAAACTGCTTCACTTTATTTTTAGTGACATTTAGTCTTACATAGAAATTACGATAATATTTACATACAACATACTCTTAAATTCTGAAAGTATAAATCTACGCAATTCCATTTCTTTTTTATTCCATATTTTAGTCCATCATCAAGATTACATATTTTCATTTTAAACTAATCGCAAGTATCTGATATAATTTTCAACAGTTTCCAAGACGTAGGGTTATTGCTAGCAAAATATTAATAACAACTTAACTGTTATAACATTTAACATTTTCTCTTAGCGTTGTTATACATTATAATGGCCAAATATGTACATATATGAATAAACAGGTAACGGTAGACACAACAGTAAACCAAATATTATCACTAAGCTATTAAGCTGGCAACTCAACAAATTAAAGGATCATATCGCTAATAGGGCAAGCAAGAAAATAAAAAGAGTAGAAGAGATAGAAAAAACAATACAAATAATTAAAACACAAAAACTGTGTTACATGTATGACTGTAATCTAATCAGGTAAGATACAGAAATTGTAAAAGATTTTGAACAAATGGCAAATGAAAGAGAAAACAAATTCATCAAATTGATTTTTTCTTGCACTTTTTAAAAGGTATGAAATTTTTTTTGAGTGGAACTTCTTTAGTAGCAATACTTCTATTGGAAATAAAAGTTTTTACAGGTTCATCTTGAATGCAAACATAATAAATTCCAAGTAATTTGGAACAATCTTTAGTTTGAATAACCGATTTTTAAGGAAGTAATTACAATTTCTGCAATAGCAAAACACGATTTCTTATTATTTCTTACGAAAATTTTATGGTAAGACCACTGCAGCATAAGTTTGTGGTAAAAACGATTTTTTTTGTTTATCTTAAATAAAGTAATCATGATGTGTAGAAAATTTAAAGATCAAAAAATCGCATATAAACGAATCCTTATACACGCGCGTTTATACTACTTGGCGATTCATGCTATCTGATACATTTTATTTCATTGTTATGATCATTATTTTAATAGCGAAAGAGTTAGTGACATGCCACACAATTTAATACTAGACTATTGTAATCGATACTGACAATAACGATAGTAACAACAGTCGGAAATGAAAGAAAAAGTAATTTACAAACCAATTAAAATTTGCTGAACTAAAAAAAAAGTTAATCGATCTCAATCTTTACATAAACAAAAACGGCACAATTCGATTCAGTTTCTAGTGCTTTTTAACCATTAATAATAATACGATTATAAACACCACACAATTTTTTGTTATGAAATGATTTGATGTAAAATGGAACTTACTTGGACGAATTTGAGTTACTTTGTCCTGAAAATGAACCTGATCCTCTTTTGACGATTATTTTAGCGTTCGGTAGGGGTACGGCAAATGGAGGAATTTTTGCAGAATTCTATAAAATTTTATGTATAAAATTACACTATTTCTAACAAGTGTTATATATATATGTATAAAAAATACCTTTGAATTTTTCGATTTAATGCAGTCTGGAGTATTGTCCTTGCAACTATTTTGGTGAACTGTGGTTCCGCAATCTAGTTAAATACTAAGTATTAAAAATCTTGAATTATACAATAAGTAATACGATCAACTGTTCCTTTTTTGATATTCTTAATAAATGATAATTCTGGTGGCTAATAGCCTCTAAATAAAACTTACTTTCACAGTAAAGAGCAGGCTTATTGCTCAAAGGTTTGTTACAAAAATCACAGATATTGGAAGAAACAAAACTAGCTGCCAACCACTGGTGGGTGAACTTCTTTGATTTATCCTAAAGCGTTAGTAAAATACAGTTAGTTTTTCACATTTAATTAAAATTTACTTCTATTCCTCACCTTTTTCTTTCTGAAAAACAAACTGCCCCTTTTTCGTCTTTTTTCAGAGTGATCGTACGGAACACTGCAAAAGTTGATAAGGAAACAATTTCAAATTAGTTGTGTACTTGTATTAAATAAAATAACCTTTTCTGTTAATACATAGTGCACCTTTTAGCCCTTATCTATAATATTATTCTACATAATGTTTTATAACAGTTAATTATTTGTTATCAGCAGTTGCATAAAAAGACAATTTCTATATTAGACCAACACCAAATCTAAACGAACTAGTTGAATTATGTCATAAATCGAATGAAATAATCCCTTACCAGCTCAATTTAGAACATATTGTTTAATAACAAGACAAATATTTTCATAAAAAGTAAGAGTTGCAAAATTGCAACAAACTGCCACATTTTTGATAGCAAAGCTCAAAAAACGTAACGATATAATAATATTAAATCGGTCTTTTTTAATACTAGTAATTAAACAAGATAGCAGTTCGTTATTCGGGCTTGATAGCTGTGACCCAGAATTGGTCCTTCTCCTTCTGAGGATGTCAGCCACAGCACAGTAGCTGACGAAACATCGAATAAATGACTTAGAAGGATAACCAATCCAAGACCACGTCCATCAAGCCCGAATTTCAAACTTCTTTAGATAACGTCAATCATGAAAGCCATTAGTCTATTCATTAAAATAGCACTTGTTACAGGAAAATATCTGTTATAACAATTACAAAATATATATCTACTAGGAAACAAACAAACGTTACTCGGACTTATCCTTTTAATAAAATCATGTAAGTACAAGAAAAATAAATCCAAAATTAATTATATTGTAAAATATTCTAAAAACTTGCACGTACGGTGCAGAGTGCAAAATTAAAAAAGAAAAACATGCATTCAGGCACTACGTCAGATAGTGTGCGGGTGTTTAATTTCATACTTACTGGTGCAAGTGTGCTATAGAGTGCGAATCGAATCGGGGAAGTCCGGACCTGCTGCCTCCTTCTTCTTCCGTCTCGCTCTCCGTCCCACTCGGACGGCTCCTAAACATCAAGCTCAAGCACATGCACTACAACGGCCTCTAGCGCGCAATATCTTTATTTTGTATAAAAGCCGAAAATTCAAAAAGCCAACTCGATAAACTCACACAACTTTATCTTAAATATATTCTGGCTATTATCTAACTCTTAATACTGACGACATGTAAACGTTTTAGATTAATATCTTTTGTTGATTTTAAATTTCCCTACGATCTAAAGCAAAACGCAAAAGGTAATTTAAATACTCCAGTTAGAGTAACTACCTTTTGCTGCTTTAGATGTTATCCGAAAAATAAAAACTTAAGAAAAAAAGGTTTAAAGCTTAAATCACAATAATATCAACCGAGTGATAAATTTAAAAAAGTCGATAAAAATATAAAAGAAACCACACTTACACGGGTATTGTGGGTTGCGCACCAACAAGATTGGCTTCAGTTGCTAATTCGCGTACCGCTATAATAGAAGGGGTCGACACAGATTTCTGAAGAGGCAAACGAGCAGGTAACAGTTGAGATTGTTCTGCATCTCGCTTTGCTTTGAGTTTGTTAAAGTCGTTCTAGTAAAGAAATAACAATTTCAATTGACATTCAGTGAAATGAAATTGATGCTGTAAACTAGTAAAAGCAATTCACACCTGTAAATCAGCTTCGTTTAAAGAGTGAGTGCTAGCTCCACCCCCCGAGCCTCTATGCCCCCGTCTTACTACTATTACAGGATCTGCCCCCAACAGTCTAGCTGTACTACCGTCCACATTATCTAATAAAGATGATTCGTCTGCCTCTGATTCCATACTGCTTAACGAAATACTACAAAAAAATGAGGAATAAAAGGAAGAACTGTTTAAAAAATGTTGAACTTACCTCCTCTGTCGCGGATTCTTTCTCTTGTCTTTTATACGGGAAAGATCGTCTAAAGCGGTCCATGATCTTCTTCGTTGTGAATGCAATTCCAAATCTCTTCCAAGAAGCCAATCTTGAGCCCCTATACATTTTTCATAAATACACTTCTGTTATCTCAATATAGAATAGATACTCAAATGATGCATTTTTAATAATTATATGAATATATACAGTTCAATTTCCCTTACACTCACCGCTTCCCTTACGGCTTAAGGGCTGATGTACAGGTGACGATCCCAGCGATTCTCCCACCGCATCAGACTCAGTCACAGGTTCGTTTAATGTAGGACAGCTAGAGCTTAGTCTCGCTACTTGAGCTAGCAATGGATTCAAAGCGAATGCAGCAAAGTCTTTAGATGAATGAATGTACGAATTACCTGTTAAAAAAATAAAATAAAAGGTTTCCAGCAAATACAAATTAATTAATTAATTTCTTTTTGTTAGACGACTTAGCTAAACAGATATACGTATTTGAGTCTGATATTGTTTGATGGACTTATTCCCTTAATATTGTTAATTAGTATTCCAATTCATTATACTTAAAATTAGATTTATTTGTCTGCACTATGATTAAGTAAAATAATACTTCGTTTGAATTTATATTGTATATTTTGTTACAGATAAAGGAAAAAGTCATCACTCTTACCCTGAATGGTGGCATTTCTCATCCGCTGAACACTTTCATGTAACTCCCGGACCTGTTGGAGGCTGTCTTCGAGTACGGGGTAAGTTTTATTTGCTGGAGAATGGGGGGTGACGCTGATGGTGGGTAACGGCACCGGCCTGGGTAACATCTCGAGGCCGGCAGCAACGTGATGATGTTGATGGAGGTGGTGGTAGTTGGTGATGACGTCTTCGTCACTGTCAGCCTCACCTCCGCTTTGACCACACTCATCTAAAATATATTTTTAAAATATAACAAACGCTCTACTTTTACATTTGAACGCACACAAAATTATAAGAAAAAACTGTAGGTTTACAGTTCAATTCAAAGAGCAATTAAAAAATCAAGGTAATTAAAACAACTTCATTGCTCATACTGAGTAATGAAAATCGACTCCTTGATAAGGTTTCTAAATCTATTGACTAGCAAGCGAGGACATTAATAGGGAGTACGGTAACATCTGGGGGATGTAACTAATAGGCGGTTAAAGTCGATGCCACCGAGAGCTCCACAAATTTCATTAGTCCTAACTGACTGATGATCAACGTACAGCCGTAAATATATGATCGATTTGAATGTAATTTTGAGAGCTTATTCTAACTATTACGTAAGGACGCACTAAAATTTATTATGAACTATAGTTGTTAATTATTTAAATATTGTAAACATTAACGGTATTATCGCATATAGGCAACCGAATATACTGTAGTACTAGTGTGTGTTTGGTTGTCTACACGTGACACTACGTTTACGACTTTTTTGAAGCATAATAAACTAAAGCGAACAACTACAAAATCAATTAAACCGTTATAGTGTAAATAAACAAGCAGGTAATCAGCAAAAGTGTTTGTTCTCCAGTTAATTTAGAGATTCAGTCGAAAACGATATCTATTTTTGTTGTAAGTGATTTTGCTCTACAAAAAAGTGTTTACATTTACTACGCGTTTACTTATCATGGTTCCTATATTTTTTGTTTATTTAATTCATTAAGTGTGCATAAAAAGGAATAATAATTTATTTAATCCTATGACCCATAAGTCCACACAAAAATGTGCCCCTTCATAGCTTTTCTATGGGGTTTTCCCAAACAAAATAATCTATGTAAAAAAAAGGATTACGATAACAAAATCGAAAAAATTGATTAAAATACACACCTTCCTCGATCTTTTTATCGCAAATCCACATTTTTTTGAAGAAGTAGCTATAAATGGAAATGTGAAAAAAATCACACCAATGATTAATTAACAATACCGTATAAAATCAATAAAATCTGTGGATAAAACATACATATAAAATTTATTAAAGCCGTTAAATATTTCATATGTATTGTCGTAAAATTTTTCACATATGCTTTTACGTAAAATTCATCACGGACAGCAATTATTTTCGGGTTTATAAGTCGTATAATGAATAAAATTAAATAAATCAATGCTGTATAATGTGGTGAACAAATAAAATATTTATCGTTAATCAATAACCATTGAAACCATCACATACAGTCCTGAAGCACCCGCATAGTATGCTTCAAATACGTACATACGTTTCCAACTTGAAACCAAGTCTAATGCGGATTTTCAAATGTCACAATTCAAAATAATGATTTCTACATAATGTGCTTCATTTTTCAACAGTTTTGCAATCTTCATACCCCCGCAACGTTGTAATAATATTTCGGGTCAGTAGTCAGCTGAATAAATTATTTCAAAAAGTTGTTAGCCTTCGGTTGTCTACTGTAAGTCAAAAACAATTTTATCATTAGATACTAAAAAATTATTTCAAAAAATTTATTGTCAAGTCAAATATTTCATAAAACTTAACGAGTTTAATTTGGAATATACGCCGAGTGTTATATTAAAATCAATGTATTGGCATTAATAATTAATTGCGATGTTTCTAGCCAATCATTCGTCCTTAAAAAATATGTAACCAGACTGGATGAGATTCTATGTTTCAAACTTTTAATATTTTCAATTTTAAATTAACTTTAAACGCGTGTATAACTAATCGCGAGTCACCTTTAACTGCCTATCCTATTTTTTGTTAAAAACTAGAAACTACGGAAACAATTTAATCTTTTGACTTTATCAAGCTCCTTAAGGATTTCAATTCAATTGGTATGCCAGTTAATTAAATTGAATATCGTCACGTTTTTATCTGCTAAGTATGTAAGCTTTACACCGGGGTTACGGAAATTGACTACAAAAAAACTAATATTACGTACTTTTTTTCTAAAAAAATCCCGGTGAAATACGACTAAATGATCGGACTACCCCCTTAAATATATTATAATTCAAAGTGAATTGTAGTACAGTGGTGACTTCACCTATTATTCCTTTACGTTGCCGAGGTTCTGTGGTTATCTTAATCGAGTTCAGAATAAAGCTGTGAGATTTAATCGATTTTTAATTATTTGCTATTCAGCAGTCCTTCATAAAATTGGCTTAATTTTCGTTAGAAAGAGAGAAACCGTTTTAAACAAGGTCTAATAGAACGAGTGACCAGCATACATTGTGCATAATAACATCTCGGGTTCACCGTGCACGCTCGACATTTCTGATTTGGTATGCACGAGACAGTTAATCGTTTTCCTAGTTGAACTGAATTATTCACAATGAGGCGGCATGTTGCCATTTACAACTTTTATTAAGCCATTCGTACTTGTGATGCACACGAATGTACCCACAGTTAAAAACAAAAACTGTGTCGCCGCTCCAATAATGTAAATATTTTAGTTTGGACTTGATATCGTGAACTGTCCTTTTGAAATGGGCCAAGGATGGGGCACAACGTTGTACATTTTAAGTTCCACTACAACCAAAAACGCCCCTTGATTTCCTTAAAAATTACTATGTAAAACCGTAATGCCCCAGACGCTTACTTCCTCCCTGGTACGTGGGCTATTTTTCGTCACTCATGGGTCAAGCAGTGAAATTTTCGGTAAAGGTCTAGATGATGGGGATGGGGGGATCGAAAGAGGAGGTCTCCCCCACCAATGTACCATAAAAAGTTCGTGGCGGTCTCACCCCCATAAAAAGTTATGAGGGTTCAAAGTTAATAAATATGCCAATTTTTATACATTTCTAGGCATGTAAATATTTATATAGTCATTCTTAAACAATATTCAAAAAGGTGAAACTAATGGAAAATACATAAAAATATTGAGAAAGTTATATAAAACATTATTTAAATATTTTTATCAATAGGGTAGGTTAGGTTGGGTTATCGGGTTTTGTTCAAGTGACCACCCTCTTTCGATCCCGCACCTCCACCCGCTTGAAAATATTTTTTTTATTGAATTTTATTTGAATTATAGTGTATGAAAATTGTCAAAATAATCAACTTTCAACCCCCATAACTTTTTATGGGAGTGAGACCGCCACGAACTTTTTATGGTACAGTGGTGGGGGAGACCTCCTCTTTCGATCCCACCGACCCCCACCCCCTTGGGGGGTGGGGGCCATCATCTAAACATTTACCAAATTTTCTTGTGTACATAATTCGCGATTGATTTACGTTAATTACTCTTGCAATATAGGTAATATCACTGCAAATCGAAGTAATTCTTATGTTTTCTTGACCAAGAACTAGTAGGTGCTACTCTTATTACTTCGTAATACAAAATTTGTTTAAGGACTGTACATTTTCGAAGGAAGTAACGGTTTCTCAAATAAATTAATATGTATGCGTTTAGCCTTCCATATTAAAAACAAATCTAGAAACCGTTTTGTTATTACCCAACATAAGCACGAACTAGTTAATTGGCGAATTAAGACGTGTTTTACGCTATTTTATTTACCAGACCGACGAACTTGAGCGTGAATTAATGCTAAATAAATGGACATTCAAAAATTTATGACCAAAATGTTTTATTATGTTTCATGTATTTAGTTAAACGATCTAAATATTGGTCATTCAATGTCAGCGTAACCGTAAGCGGAAAGTCGCCTGTAAATTTTATTTATGATTTAATCTCTTTAAAGTATTTTTAAGGAATGATATTCTAAAATCTAAAAATACAAAATTATTCTTCTATCTACTGATTTCCGCGATTTTGCCCGCCGAGGAGGAAAAACAGCATCAAGTCGCTCACACAAATGATGCGCGGCTGTTGCGTGATATCGTGATAATGTTTATTGGAATAAAAATTGATCAAATGAAATTGTGTCATCCATTTTAATAACACCCAAACATTTGGATCGGGATCTAAACAAATTGAATATAGGAAACAAAAATTCACGTCAAAATTGAAGCTAATCATTATACCATAACATTAGTCTTAAACAATGAGTAGTTATAATGTTTGATTAGGAATTAATTGAATCTGTTAATTGCCTTACGTGAATGCCGATCGTTTACATGCAATAAATCGTAAAATAAAATTAACAACTGAAAGTACTTCCACAATAACTCAACGTTCGTTTGATGAGTACGAAATTAAAACTGAAATTTTGTTTTCCTATGATAACAATTTGAAAATATCAAGTGACATGTAAACACGTCGAAAGATAGGTGATTTTTAACTAAAAATTCAGGCCACTATACGAAATCGTTCGTGATACGCAACGCTTGCAAAGTAATTAATGCCGTCTTTGGTAAAAAAGATCCTAACGGCTTCGACGAATTAATTAGTTCAGTAAGACTGTAATTTACCAGAACAATGGGATAATTAGGAAGCTAAAGGTCAGAGGATGAACTGATTAACCTCAAACGCGTCTTAGGTCTTCAGCATGCGGGATACGACATTCCTTTTTGTGAATAGAATTTTCACAGGAAATACTAAACTAAACTGTTCTTAAAATCGTTTTTTTTTAATTACCTACGCGCGGTGATTTTTCCTCAAGAATAAATAATGCAATTGATCAATTTGTTAGATTGTAATTGATAAGCGAAGGTTCGTATTTAGGCCGACGGTCAAAATATCACTTAGAATTCAACAAAGGCCATGTGATGGATGTGGCCCGAAACTTGGAAGATGTTGAAAATCATTTTCGCGAGACTTACACATGATATGAACATGTATTTGCACATCGGTTTCTACAAATAATAATAGGCAAACGGCCTAAGTACGCCCGTCATATACAAACGAGGTACATCCTAATCCTTTACACTGACGACCATATTTGAATTCCACAAATGTACAGACAAAAACCGTAAAACTGTATAGCTAAGTATAAGTAGCTTATTTGGGTTTTAATGAAAACTGCTTTCAACAAAAAGTGTAATCATGGAAA